TTTAAAACACAAGATCTTTGACCTTTAGGGTTACTGAACCCTAAATACCAGCACATGAAAATACCTTTGCTGACTGACTGGCAGTAGCGAAGGGTAAAAGGCAAACAGGGAGAAGCACTGCAGAGCTGCTCTGACTTAACCAAACTGCAGTTTTCAGGCGGGGCTGCAGTTGCACTCTTTCTTCTCCCTTCCTGTTCTCTCTCATCCTCCATCTTCCTTACCGCTATGATTCTCCAAATGTTTGTCAAGCCTTTCTAGGGATACTGCAATATAGTAACACACAAAAATGACAAAGCGAGAAGTGATGGCTAGGGAATGGGCCGTTCACGAGGACACAATGTTCTTATGCAAATTGGAAGTTAGTGAAGTCAGTGCGGTCAACACAGCTACTCTTGCCAAAAGTAGCACCGGATATGGAGTAAAAAAAGTGGGTTTATGTTTCACCTGCAAAACTTGCCATTCTTACCAAAATTCCTCCTAAAGCTATACCAGAATGTCAGTACAACACTGACATTTAATGAACAAAAAGAGAATGTTCAAATCTATCATACAGGCATGCAAACCCTGTGAGTCCTGACTGAACCCCAAAACAACAGAAGTGACTGACTATAGAAACGAAGAACATCTGTTAAGACCTATGCCTGGGAACCTTATGCCAATAAGTACTTCAGGTCTTCAAAAGGCTGTAAAACAGTACCATGAGTAGTTTTGAAAACTCCAGTTAAGCAATTAAAATTGGAGAATGACGCATTTTCAATGGCGTTCTGCAGCTGGAATTTGGGGATGCAGTTCAGCAGTCGCACCCTTAGGCACGACTAGCGGCCTTTACCCACCCGGCTGCCTGGCTCCCGGCAGAGCCGCCTCCTCTCCGCCGGTACTCTCGTCTGCACCCAGGGCGGTGCGGCAAAGCAAGCCGGGCACTGGGGTTAGGACGTGCAGTGGGACTGGGCTAAACAGTGTTAATTGAATGCTGTAATATGCCACGGTGAAGGAACTTTGAGTTTTTAGGCTTTGGCTTTAAGAGATTAAAGAGAAAAGAGATTTTAGGCTTTGGCTTGAAGGGATTAAGAGAAAAAAGAAGGGGAAAAGAAGGGAGAAGGGGGGGGAAAGAAGGAGGAAGGGGAAGAAGACAAAAGGGGAAAAGAAGAAAGAAGGGGGAAGGGGGGGGAAAGAAGGAGGAAGGGGAAGAAGACAAAAGGGGAAAAGAAGAAAGAAGGGGGAAGGGGGGGGAAAGAAGGAGGAAGGGGAAGAAGACAAAAGGGGAAAAGAAGAAAGAAGGGGGAAGGGGGGGGAAAGAAGGAGGAAGGGGAAGAAGACAAAAGGGGAAAAGAAGAAAGAAGGGGGAAGGGGGGGGAAAGAAGGAGGAAGGGGAAGAAGACAAAAGGGGAAAAGAAGAAAGAAGGGGGAAGGGGGGGGAAAGAAGGAGGAAGGGGAAGAAGACAAAAGGGGAAAAGAAGAAAGAAGGGGGAAGGGGGGGGAAAGAAGGAGGAAGGGGAAGAAGACAAAAGGGGAAAAGAAGAAAGAAGGGGGAAGGGGGGGGAAAGAAGGAGGAAGGGGAAGAAGACAAAAGGGGAAAAGAAGAAAGAAGGGGGAAGGGGGGGGAAAGAAGGAGGAAGGGGAAGAAGACAAAAGGGGAAAAGAAGAAAGAAGGGGGAAGAAGAGACAAGCCAAGCAAGCGGAAGAGGAGGAGGGCTTTGGCCGTTGGCTTTCACACGCGAGCGGGGCTGCTGTGCCGTCACTGCCGGTAGCACGTGCCACCTGCCGTTAGCGCATCGCAGTAGCCTCGTGCCTCATTCTGCCTCGACCGAGTCGTGCAGCGCAGCCCGGCCGCCGGCGCAGCCTCGGCAGGGAACGCCGCAGCCCCTTTTTGCTGTTCTTTGGTGGTTTCGCTGTCTCCTCACCCCAGCGCTTCCCCTCCTTAACCCTCCCACCACCTGTAACTCTTCACAGCGCCAACCCCGTTCGTCGTCAACTTCACTGGTTCCTTTCCTCCTGTCGCTGAGAATCGATTCTTCCATTTCAGGCAGGCTGCTGATTTTTTTGTTTGGGTTT